TTGTGGAATTGTACGAGAGAAAAATTGTGTGGATATAACACTCTTGAATTTACAATAGATATATATATATAACAATTTTAGTAGTTGTAATAAGATGTGTACACAGTAGAAAACATGTGTAGATAATTGATTATTATTACTTATTAAAATGATGGATACTTACAGGTTATGGCGTTTAATCAACTTTAAATGGGTTTAACGGGCTTGACTGGTGATGACGATCTAGAAAATAGAAGAAAATCATATTAAAATGGCTTCGAGCGACTAGAAAACACTCTAGTTTGCTCTGGTGTGGCTATGAAATAGTGAAAACCAATAAAAAGTAGAATAGATACAAGAAAATGTATATGAAGTGGGTTGGTTTTTTGACTTTTTTACTATTTTAGCTTGGGTTAAAAAATTTGATTTGAAAATGACTTTTTGACTTTTTTTGTGAGAAAAAAGTGTAATGATTATGAATTGGATGTGATGTTTTATTTTTGTGGCTAAAATAACATATTTTGTCTTTTGTGATTAAAATAACTAAAAAAGTCCCAAATATATCTTCTCAAACGGAGCCTATATATGGGTTTGAAATTTGAATGGATGGAGGCTGAAAAGGCACACCATTTCATAATTGGAAGTGGTGCAAGATAGCTGGTGCAGACATACGGAACCAACGAAAGTGAGCCATGTGTCCTTAATGTGACGCAATGTCAAAAAAGTTGGTAGCCGAGCAGACTGTATGGCAATAAGGGATTGACCCATGCATGCCTTGGGAAAAGTCATGCTAGCCCGGTTGAGGTATCTTTTGCTCCTATTAAAAAAAGGGTAATCCTAGCCATGATTGGAGTAGCAAATGAGATTAAGGGAGAATTAAGAGAAAGATTTCCACCGGACTAGTGGATCGGACAAAACCCACCACGGCCTAGCTTAGATGACCTGGCACAAGGGCTATTCTACTCACTCGGAGCATAACCCATGTTTGGACGGGGCAAATATGGTCAAGCGGCTTAAAGCTGCACAAGAATTGGGCTGGGCTAGATCCTGGTGTTTAGGTGGTGTTGTTTGATCGGACAGAGATATGCTAGGTCCTCGAACCGAGGTGAAGATAGGTTGTACGGTTTGAAGCCTTAGTCTTAACTTGTAGCTTTTGGGCTGAAATAGGTTAGGAATGACTAAGTGGCTACTTATGGAGAACAACCGGGCAAATGGTTTGCTCGGTCCAGGTGCCAACTCAAAAGTGGATATGCTTCATATAGTGTTTAAGGATAAACACCATCTTTAAAAAGTAGACTCCTACTGAGTAGTGTGACCCAAAAAACATAAAAATAAAATAAAATAAAATAAATTAGTGGGGAGTTGTTAAAATGAATTTGAATTTTGTTATGACTCTATTATGCCGAAATATACAAAAACTCAAAGAAAAACCGATAATGCAATTCTAACTCTTAGAGAAATTTTTCCCGTTGTTGATCCTATAGTACTAACTTAGGTATCGAAGGGATTTTTTGGCACACACTCACAAGTAAACTCATTGTTTGTATATTTTCAAGTCATACGACATCGTTCGCATAAATTATTACTTGATGACGGGATAATAATGTGCATGATAAATTTTATATCTATATATATATAACAATTTTAATAGTTGTAACAAGAGTGGACACTATAAAAAAACATGTGCAGATAATTGATAATTATTATTTGTTAATATATAAATATTGTGTCCATGGCCAATAAATAAATAAATAAGTAAAAGTTAGTGCGGTGACCATTCATTGATAGTTGTTTTTGGGGTTGTGTTAATGTTTTACTTCGTGGTACGGCTTTTGGTCCGAGCCGTCCCATTATTATGATCCCAAAAACATCATCATATTCCACAAAGAATCTTATCTCTAAATCCTCTCTTGTTTTATTTTCTTAACATGACCTCACAGTTTATTTGTTATTAGTACTTTTTTGGGTGCAAAGAGCAATTGTATCATTAAAAATAAAAAAAAACAACCCACCACTCACTTTCCATTATTTTTATTATTTATAATAAATTTTTAAAAAAAAAAAATTGTGATGATCTTTCACTCAAAGTGTGAAATCATTTTATCAAACAACAATGGTAGAGGGCCCAAATTTTGTGGCTCAAATGTGGCTCAAATGGCCAAAACGACGTCGTTTTGAGTACAAAACAACATCAAAATGGCCAAAACGACGTCGTTTTGGCCATTTGAACCATATTTGAGCCACAGAATTAAGGCCCCCAAACATTTTTCTTTATCAAATTTTGATGTGGAAAGGAAACAGTAGAGCTGTCGGTATGCTTGGCGGAACACTAATATAAAAGTAATTGATAAGTTTGTATAAGAAGGGTCAAAGTAAATATGGTAAAAAAAAATTGAAAAATAATTAATGTGTTTGATTTGAGTTTTCTGGATTAAATTTTTTAAAAATTGAGTTTTTTGATTTTTGTATTTTTTGTTTTTAGTGAATATTTTTAAAATTTTAAACATTTTTTTTACTTTTTTAAATGTACCTTACGTAGATATATCTAAAAAGTAAAAAATTTGTGAAAAATATTTTAAAAAATTAATAAATACATAAAAATATAAAAAATGTACTAAATTCTTGTATTTTTTTTATATTTTTGGTATTTAGTGAATTTTTAAAAGATTTTTTTTTTACTTTTTAGGTGTATTTATATTAAGTGTGTCGAAAAAGTAAAAAAATTGCTTAAGATATTAAAAAAAATAATAAAAACAAAAAAACACAGAAAAAAAGAAAGTAAAATTTTCTGAAAAGTGTTTTTAGAAAAATGAAACCAAGCAAGCTTATTTCTTAGAGCATCCTCACCACGCTCTTTAAAATCATTTTTTAACTAATAAACTTTGAAAAATCAATTTCATCAAATTCGCTTGTAACTCGTCAAAATTTACAATGATTACAGTAACTCGTTACAATAAGTGAGGCACTATTCATCGTTATTTGTGTGTTATCAGAAGTTCGGCCGGTCAACTGGTCAACAGCAAAAAAAATTTTTGGTTGCTTTTTTTAAGAATTGTTTGGCTGGTAATTTATCAATTTAATAAAAAAAAGAAAGACTAACAAATACAATAAGAAAATAATATTTAATAAGAATAAGTTAGAATAAAGAGTTTGATACAGTAGGTGCTAAAAAGTGAGTAGCTAAAATGATAAAATAACTTTAATTTGATTAAAAATTTGAACAGTTAGGTGTGGATGCTCTTACATAAGTATTATGAAAAATTAGCCAAAAAATAATAATAAATAAACTGTTTATATCATATTTTTCTAATTCTTTACTCATTTATTTTATATACTTGTAAGCTATATAATTAAAATCTTATTGTAAAATTTATTAGATTAGGCATTTTAATAGTAGAGATAATTATATAATTAGAGAAAATCTACTTAGAGAGGACTAATAAGTTATTTCTTTCATGGCCCCAAACAACCAATATTGGTGCTGATGGCACGTTTTATAATAGAAAAAATATTTTACCAATCAAATTGATAGAATTGATACAATTACATCATATATAAAATAGTTGATATATATGACAAAATTTTAGAAAGTCATTCTATATACGTAATAAGAGGGAGATTTACGCAGAATTATTGGGCCGAGCTACGTCAGCAAGGGATATGGTGTTGGGCCTCGCTAGGGCCAAAAACCATGCGCTTGACCGAACTGAACCAACGCGGCTTTCCCGGCCCATTAAGTTGGACCGGGCAGGCCGTCGACCGAGCTATGATTTGGCGAAAAATGGATATTTGGTTAGATCCGCACTGATGCGTTGGGTCGAGATACGGACAGTCCAAACTGACGTAGGGCCGAGGAGTCCTACGAGATAGTAGGGCGAGGCCGAGATGCCGAACCGCGCGTCCTACAACCAGTCAATTTCGATGGACCAATTTATTATAGCTCGGTCGTTCCAGTCCGTTGTGGTGTCTGTTTCTTCCAAGTGATAGCCTGGTTGTGTAAGCCACCTGGACCAATGGTAAAGTAGAGAAAATCCACTCCTGGTATGCGTCGATACCGTCTGGCAGTTCGACAAACATTGTTTGAAGGTTTTGGTCTCTACACATGTGAGGAAGGTAGAAGGGAACACAGCCGCCTGCTCAAAGAAGGACAACAGAGGTAGTGTGCCCACAATCTCTGAGGCTACAAGGCCAGCCTAAAAAAAGAAGAGAAGAGAGACGTCAGAGGTAAGTAAGGAGAAAGAATTCCAAACTCTCTCGCTCAAAAGTGCTCTCTGTATTCTTCTTCTTCTTCTCCAAGTGTGCTGACTTGATCGTTGGAGGGTTTATCCGGCAACACACTACCGGGCAGCTCACCATCTTTTGGTTTTCAGGTTAGGCGACGTCACAAGAAGCTTGGGTTCAAGGAGTACGTAGAACAGAGAATATTTCACCCCCATACAATTGGCGTCGTCTATGGGAATTCTTTGACAAACAAACCTTGTTCTCCAAGCTTTTTCAACCGTTTCTATGGCTAACAACGATGAAACACTGCTGTCCGTTGTCGATAGTATCACACCAGAGCCTACCCGATGGAGAGATGGCCCTCTTGTTATTCCAACCATGGCGGACCTGGAAACCTCTTCCAGAGGTGCGCGAGACAAACGCGCAAGGACTGAACACTCAAAGAGTCCAGAGGGTCGCCAACGACGATAAGAGTCACATGCTCAGCGCCTGGAGCACAAACTCAGAGACCAGGACGCCCTCATTCTGAAGATGACGGCTGAAATGGAGATGCTGAAGTGCCAGATCAAGAGAAAGGGTGTTGTTGGAGTAGGCAACCATAGTGAGCACACCCCACCCTGTCGCTGTGACAGTCGTCACCAAGATGGGACGCCCTCTCTCTCTATCACCGGAAACTATGGAGTTTGAGACTCCGACCCACCAGTGAAGAGATCTTACACTCGCGACAGCAGTTACTGTTCCTCACGTCGTCGACAACGTCAAGATACTCTTACTCTGCCCGTTTAGGGGACTTAAGGGATATGTTGGAGAAGCGAGCTTGCCGTAGAGAGACCCAAAGATTACCGGCGTTGCAAAGGCTGAGTCCCCAAATCCGTTGCAGTAAGGAAGTGGCGATGCCAGCGCCTAGAATGATGGCCCCAGCGCCGATGAACAAAAAGCTAGCAAGACTTACTGCTACCCCACTGTCCCCAGAGATCGAGAGCACGCTACTCCTTGCCGGATTCCACCAACCTAAGTTCACGTTATACGATGGCAAAACTGATCCGTACATACACGTGAGTCATTATCGGCAAGTAATGGTTGGCCACCGACGCAATGACGTCTTCATGTGTCTCATATTCCCTGCAAGTTTGGAAAAACTGGGCCTGAAGTGGTTCGAGAGACTCTCGAAGGGGAGCATTGAGGGGTGGCAACAACTAGCAAAAGCCTTTGTCACGAGATTCAAGACCAATACTCGAATACCGAAGGAGGTCGACCACTTCTTGAGCATTGAGATGGAGTCCGGAGGTTCTTTGAAGGCATACAATGCCAAGTATTGGGAAACCTACACTGAGATCCTCGATTGTCCCACCAATCTGGCGATCATTCAATACAAGCGAGGTTTTCCAGTCGGGCATAGGTTGCAAGACTCGCTCATGATGCATCAGCCCACAACTATGGAATCTTTAATGCAGCGGATTAATGAGCATATCTGAGTAGAGGATGATGCTGCCACTGCCACCGCCACTGCCACCGCCACCGCCACCGCAATCGAGAAGGCAAATCCGGTTGCGGCGCACAAATGGGTGGCTGGAAAGGTCCACTCGGTAGGGTAGAAGGACAACCGCCCCAATAATCGAGCTAGAGATCAACATCGCGGTTCAAACTGCAATGATAGAAACAAGAGTCGAGGAAACGACCAAGCTAACGCTCCTCGAAGCGAAGAAGAAGATGCCAAGAGGAAGTTGAAAGCACGGACCGGCATCACCACTGTCTTTAAAATCCTAATTTATCGCATCTTCAATGAAATCTGAGGTGAGCCATACGTGCGTTGGCTGGCCAAATTGAGAGACACACAAAGGGGCTTCAACTCGAGGTACCACTACACCTTCCATGAAAAAAAGGGGCACCGAACGGAGGACTGCGTGCCCCTCAAACAACATTTGGAAGAGCTGGCTGTAGTTGGGCATTTGGATCAGTACATTAACGGGGGCATGAGGGCTACTCCACAAGGGTAAGCCGAGCCAAACGGCCTTGCCGTCCTGGACGTGGTGCCCCAAGGAATGATCAATGTTATTCATGGCATTATCGAGCTAGCGCGGGTCTGCGAGCTGAGGAGGATGGTCAAGAAGGCCGAGCACATGAGGGCAGTGCTCTCTGTTCAGCCTGCCGTGAAGAAAGGGAAGATCGAGATAAAGGACGTCTTAACTTTTTCAAGCAAAGACTTGGAAATAATACAAACGCCTTATAATGGCCCCCTAGTTGTGACCTTTCACGTCAAAGACTTCGACATCAAAAGAATTCTGATTGACCAGGGGAGTTCGGTCGAGATCATGTACTATGACGCGTTCAAACAGATGAAGTTAGAGGACAAAGACTTGGCTTTGGCAACGTCTCCTTTGGTTGGCTTCGACTCTCAACTAGAATGGCCGATCGGAAAGATCATATTGCTGGTCAAAGCTAGGTCGGTCACGAAGCAAGTGGAATTATGGGTGTTTAAGGTCCCATCACCCTACAACCTAATCTTGGAAAAGAGCTGGTTGCACGCCATGCAAGCAGTGGGGTCGACTTATCACCAAGTCCTGCGCTTTCCTACACTAGCCGGGCAAGTAGAAGAGGTTTGGAGGGATCAAGTAATGGCAAAACAATGCTTTGTCGCAGTGAATGGCTGCTGGGCTACCAAAGGCTTCGTCCAAATGATAGAGGGACCGGAAGGGAAGGAAGTCCTGGAATATGTGGGAAAAAAAGTCGAAGAGAAATCGATTGAAGATTTGGTAGAAGTGCGCGTTGATGAGAATTATCTAAATAAGTTCTTTCTTTTGGGATCATCTTTGTTCAGCGCCGAGCGACTCGATTATGTCAACTTTTTGGTTTCCAACATTGAGGCCTTTGCGTGGACGCCTTACGATATGCCTGGACCCTAGCTTCATTTGTCACCAGTTGAACGTCTTTCCGAATACACGACCGGTCATTCAGAGATAATGGCAAAGGAGGTCAAAGCTGGGGCGATAGAAGAAGTGTAATACCCTAGATAGATCTCTAACACAGTAGTAATGCCGAAGAAGAATGGTAAATGGCGGGTGTGCGTCGATTATAAGACAGTCAACCGTACGTGCCCAAAGGACAACTTCCCCCTCCCAAGAATCAACCAGCTGGTGGATTTGACCGCTAGCCACCAAAGGTTTAGCTTCCTGGATGCATATCGCGGTTATCACCAGATCGCCATGTACAAACCAGACCGAGAGATCACTTTATTTACCACTCCAAGAGGCTTGTACTGCTACAAGGTCATGTCGTTCGGTCTTAAAAATGCCGAGGTAACTTTTCAGAGGATGGTAACCAAAAAGTTCGCTCCTTTTCTTGGACGCACTATGGAGGCTTACATAGACAACATGGTGGTAAAGAGCAAAGACAACTCTCAACACCTGGCCGACCCAGCAGAAATGTTTGCCATACTCAAACATCACAAGCTGCGCTTAAATGCCTCCAAGTGTGCATTCGGAGTTGGAATCGAAAAATTTCAAGGTTTTTTGGTCACCAACCGAGGAATCGAGGTCGACCATTCCTAGATCACGGCAATATGAGAACTAGAACGGCCAAACTCCACAAAGGACGTGCAACATCTCGCCGGAATGGCAGCCGCACTGAACCGATTTATCAACCGGTCTTCAGATCGTTGCAAGCCCTTCTTCAAAACTTTGAAAACCAAGTTCTTTTGGGATGACGAGTGCGACCGTGTGCTAACAGATCTAAAAGTATACCTTTCCTCAGCCCCAATCCTGGTCACACCTTAACCGGGCGAAGAGTTGTATCGCTACTTTGCAATTTCTCAGCACGCGGTGAGCGCCGTCCTTGTCCGCACTAAGGGGATCCAACACCTCTCTATTTTCTACGTAAGCAAGACACTTTTCCCGACTGAATCAAGATATCTACTGCTTGAAAAACTAGCTCTGGCTTTTACGATGGCTTCCAGAAAGCTAGCGCACTATTTTCATGCCCACACGATAGTCGTGCTAACCGAATTTCCGCTCAAGGTGCTCTTTGAAAAGGCAGATTTCACCGACAAAATATTAAAGTGGGCCGTGGAATTAGGACAATACGATGTCAAGTTCCAGCCGCGCACCGCTATCAATGCTCAAGCTTTTGCTTACTTCCTGGTGGAATTTGCCCCTAGAACGCAACCTGTTTGCCCTGTTGATTTGGCTAGCGCAGACTTGGTGCAGCCCACGGCTTAGATAACAAAAATAAGTGGTGGACAACAAGTAGCAAAATGACAAGATGAAGCCAAACAAGAAATGGAAGAACCGTCCAATTTGCTAAAATACAAGCTCGAGGGAGATGTAGGAAGAGATCAGACTGAGACAACTAGTACCTTGGAACTAAGGAACTCTCAAAATCCCTCTGACTGTTGGAAGTTGTTCATTGGCGAGATACGGAAACTCTTCGTCGATGGGGCCTCCAATAGACATGACGTCGGGCTAGGGGTCGTGTTGACATCCCCGGATGGGCTGACCATTGAGCATGCGATCACACTCAGGTTCTCAAAATCCAACAATGAGGCAGAATATGAAGCACTCCTTGCCAGATTGAAGAGTGCTTTGAATGAAGGCATCAAAACTTATGGTATTCAACGACTCCAAGCTGGTGGTCAATCAGGTCTCCAGGGAATATGAGGCCAGGGTTGAAAGGATTACTAAGTATCAAGTGCTGGTACGCGCAGAAATCAAAAAGTTTGCCACAATATGAATGGAACAAATTAACCACGAAGAAAACAATGCAACCAACGAATTGGTCGGCCTAGCATCTATGCAAACAACTTTTTTCCAATCATTTGATGATAGAATTCTTACCCCAACCGAGTATTGAGGATCAAAGTACTCTACGCCGGCTTGGGACCATTCTGGATGGATCTTATCATCACCTTCTTGAAGGATCAAATTCTACCCACTGAAAAGAAAGAGGCCAACAAGATTAGGGCCAAGTCAGAGCGGTTTTGGCTCTCTCCATCTGGCGTCTTGTACAAGAAATCTTTCACTGGGTCATACCTGAAATGTGTCCACCCCAGCAAGGTTGAAGCTTTCCTCTTTGAGATTCATGAAGGCATCTGCGAAAGCCATTTTAGGGGCAAATCTTTGGCTTACCAAGCATTTTCCCAGGGTTATTGGTAGCCGTGCATGCAGGCTGACGTGCAGAAATATGTTTCCAAATACGAAAAATGTCAAAAATTCGCTCACAAAATTCACCAACCGGCCAGGGAGTTGCTTCCCCTTACAAGTCCTTGGCCATTTACGCTTTGGGGGCTAGACATTGTAGAACCTCTTCCAGCAGCTCCAGGTAACCGTAACTTTTTCATCGCTACTACCGACTACTTCACTAAATGGGTAAAGGCCGAGCTATTGGCCACCATCAAGGAAAAAGATGTTAAAAAGTTTGTCTGGCAGAATGTCATCACCCACTTCGACATCCCAAAGCCTTCATTTCGGATAATGGCACTCAGCTCGACAGAAAACTCTTTCGCAGGGTTTTGCGAGGAGTTAAAGATTGAGTTCTACAACTCTACACCGGCTTACCCCCAATCAAATGGTCAAGCCGAAGCTTCAAACAAAACCATCTAGGACAGGCTGAAGAAGTGACTGGAGAAGGCTAAAGGGAAGTGGGCTACGGAACTCTCCAATGTGCTTTGGGCATACCGCACTATACTAAGGCGCTCAACCGGGAAAACTCCATTTGCTTTGGCTTACGGCATGGAGGCAATCATACCATTGGAAATTGGCATGCCAACCATCCGATCTAAAAGTTTTCAACCTGACTTAAACAATGAAGCTGTAGCCCTGGAGCTTGATCTAGCCGAAGAAAGAAGGGAACATGCTCTAATCCACATAACAGCCTACTAACAAGAGCTCTCTAAAAAATACAACAAGACCGTGCATCCTAGGTTATTCAAGGTCGGAGACTGGGTCTTAAGGAAAGTAATGGACAACACAGTGATCCTTGGCGATGGCAAATTAGGAGCAAATTGTGAGGGGCCATACAAGATAACTAGCATTGCAGGCAAAAAGACCTACCACCTAGAAGACTTAGATGGTAAAGCTATCCCCAGATTGTGGAATGCGGCCAATCTCAAGATATTTTACTTTTGAAATGTAATCTTTTCTACTTCTTTGCTTCTTGTAACTTGGCCTTTTGGCATTAGGAGTAATCTGTAACGTGTAATAGAAGATGAACCCCTTCTTTCTCTTATCTACGCGTTTCTGCACGGAAATGTCACACAAATATTATTAAGCCACTATGAGTACCAGGGGCAAGTGTTCCAAACCTGGCTAACTTTTGCAGAACGAGCGGTTATTCGGTTATGGACTGATTTTGCTCGTTGAACCGAGCTGATCTTGTTCGACCTCCCAAACAGTTGGTGTTTTGCCCAACTTGTATTTGAGTCGAGCCAATTTTGTTCATAATTATCCGAGCTGATTTTTGCTTGGTGTTGTGAAGCTGATTT